TTTTGAAGTAGATCCGATAAATTCCCTAGGAGGAGTTCATTCGTGAAAAAAAATCACCGAAAATGACCACGAAATTCAAAATGGCTGACTTACTGTTGGGTTTGAGTTATGGGTCCAAAGCCCTTTTGGCTTGTCCGATCATGGTACACATGCGTACAAATTTTCTTACATGTCAGTCGTATGTGTCTTGGGGGCTGATTCGGGGGGGCCTGGCTAAGTCATTTTCCCCTCATAAAACATCAAACTGATTTTACATTTGTGCTTGTGCACAGATTAAACAAATGAGATACAACATGTTAATCAGTGAACACTGAATCAGTGTTGGTAGGTGTATTTTTGAACTTTAGACAGAGCCAGGCTAGTTGTTTACCCCTGCTTCCAGTTTTTATGCTAAGCTAGGCTAACCACGTCCTCTACTGTAGGCTTTAAGCCTATGCTATACACTTAGCCATGGTACAAACAGGCTATCTATTATTCTTAAGACATTATAGTTCCATGAAACACAGCAGTCTGAGAGGGGCATACTGTTGTGGATTGTTAAAATGTTTTTGAGTTGAGGGCAGGGATTTAAAATTACTGTTAATTGTGTCATCAAAATATGACTAAAGCAAGTGGCTAAAGCAAGCCACAACCAATTTCAAATGTGGAATATGCTAAAACATCTTTCTATGTAACATGGTTTTTAATTCCATCAATGCCATTTTACACTCTACACAAATGTCACTGCCAGGAACAAAAAAACACTGAAATTGTCAAAAAACGACTATGACTGTATAAAAAGTTACCTAAACAGGAAATGAACAGCTCAAAATTCATCCAAATTACTTGCAGATTCTTGCAGAGTTCACCATTTGGGTTTATTGTACATTTTATGAAATATGAAATATCCATAAAATATGTCTTAGTCAGGGGTCAGCAGTTCACTAAATTATAGAAAAGGGGATCCCTTTAGGAAAAAGGTTGGAAAACACTGCAATAAGGGAATTGATAAAGAATCGGGCCGATAATGGCATTGATATCAATAAAATCTTATCAATTCCCATCCCTATTCATGATATTATCCCGATAATCATCAAAATATGATTAAAACTCATAAAATATCACTAAAATGCACTGGAATCACTTTTATTGCGATCCGTGGTAATATCATATATCGTCCCATTCCTAGTTGCAGCCCATGTTAGCTTTTTTCTGTCTTTTGACGTCTACCAAGATTTCAAGTACTTGTCGCTGCTTAGCCATCTGTCTCTTCTCTTTCTCAACTTCTCTCTGCTATACTTAAGGATGCCTGCTGGTGCCTGCACTCATCAGTGACACATAATTTACAGATGCCAGTAACAACCAAATGCCACAAAAAAGCGAGGTATCACGATGATTGCCTACCGTAATGAGTGGTAATGTGAACGAGGCAAAAGACAGCACTCACCTCTAGGTCATCCTCCACTATGACCACAGTAGACTGGGAGAATGTGTTAAACACTTGGTTGAGTGCCCAGCGGTAATGTCGGGCAATTTTGTAGTAGCCCTGGAACTTCCTGTGCTCTGGCCGGACTCTGATGTCTGAGAGGTCCGGTTGACTTATGTGCGTCACTTGATCTCCATATGAGCCAATCACACGAGCTGTCTCCGCGTGGCTACAGTCCTGACTGACAATTATTGGATATAGCTCACGAGAAGGGCGGTACTGTATCAGTTTGTCAAGGCTCCGTTTTACCGTCACTCTGTCACAAGCAATGACTAGAATGGGAATGATGACATCTGGGCTGACAACGGAAGTAGCCAATATATTGTTCTTAACAATCTCTTTCTTTATTTCAACGGCCTGGTGCTGGTCTAACTTAGAGTCTGAAGCTACTGTATGAACAGGATTCTGTGTATCTTTTACTTCACTTTGGTCCCTGACATCCACACCGTCTTTGAGAGGAATTGGAAGCTTTGGTGCCTTGTGCATAACCTCTTCTCTGACTTCTTTTGTATCGTCCGTTTCTCTTTTACCAAGGTCTTTCTGCCGAGCCCACACTGCCCTGTGACTTTCAATCTGCTTTAGTAGCTTTTTTTGGGTCTCGAGCTGAAGTTCGACCTCCTCTGCCAGCCGGATCACCTCTCCAGCCAGGTTGATCTGACCTTCTTTCCCTCTGCCCACGTCCCACTCCTCCTTTCCTCCTGGTTCGGCTCCACCGCCTTCTCTGAGGCGGCCGATTGGAGGGCGACCCCAAAGATAAAGTAGAAGCAAAGCATTCCAGGCGACAAACAGGAAAGCACCACATAGTATAAGAGAACCTTTCTTGCGAACCATGGCCCAATGACACTAGATAATTGGGGGGAACAAGTGAAGGAACCAGAGTGAGAATCCTACAGACCACAGTGGCAATATCAGATGGGCAGGTCACATTATAATTATTTCAAATTTCAGAGTCATCCTGTCTTTCGGTCAGGAGGGTGTCAGGAGGAGGATTATCCAATTAAATGAATTTACATGATCCTACTGTGGAATGCATGCATTCCATGAAACCCCATAGAAACAGGGCACTGCGCTGAAGCAGGACTCCCAGTAGTTCAGCAAGGGGAGGTTTTAAAAGTGCAGATGAAAGTAAAATAAGGGGAAAGTGGGGTCACTTTAAGTTAAGGGAACGGAACTCCTTGGATGTTATCCTTCAGCCATTATTCTGAAAACAGAGCAAGAAAACAAATGATCAGCAGAATGAATGCAGCTCATTAGAACTTAATAATTTTATTCAAGTGTGAATAAAAGCAGTCACACTGTCAGTAAAAGCACTCACAAGATTATCCCATTCTAATGTCTGACATCTTTGTGTAGGATGTCCAGACTAGAAAGTAGGGCTGAATTACTTGAGGACAATGTCTGATTGAAAATGTTCTGATCATTATTGTAATGGGGCTGCACAATTAATCGCAATTCTATCAAAATTGCAATATGGCCAAGGGCAATATGCAAATTGCAGAAGCAGCAATTAGTCAACACAAAAAGGTCAAATGAGCAACTGTAGCAAACAAATTTCCCCCTGGATCACAATATCTATCGAAATAATCCCAATATGATGTTTTTAACCATATTGTGTAGACCTATATTGCAATCTAAATTATTTTCTATAAATTAACTACAGGCCTGTATTTGTAATCTATTAAAAAAGATGCATTGTACCAAACATAATTACAAATTTGTTGCATTTTAAGAAGATTACCTTTATTAATCCTCAATGGAGAAATTCTTTTTCAGTCAGGGTTTTACACACATATGCATGAAATACTATCACACACAGGGCTTATAGACATGCTAACGTGGCTGCTACACCCCAAGAGCAGTTAGGGGTGTGGAGCCATGTCAAGGGCACCTCCGCAGCACCCAGGAGGTGGAACTGGCACCTTTCCAGCTCCACACTCTATACTGTGGTGTGTGCTGGACTTGAACTAGCGACCATCTGGAAAAAATGCAGTTGACTGTTAGGGCAGTGCTGAATAGTTTGAAGCTTCACTTATAACATTGACAATATAATTCTAAATCAATATTGGAATGCTGCGCCGATCAGGACTCTGTGAAGACGTAGTGACTAGGTGATCTCCATCACAGCCGAGTGACTCCTCCCAGTGCAGAATTGGGATGAATGTCGATGTAGAGTGACGTACAAATTCTGATATGACTGTTCACACTGAGGTCACGTTGCAAAAAAATAAAAATCACACCTCAAGTGGCCCAAATCAGAACTGAAAAGATCAGATTCCATGTGATCTGTGCTGCTCATACTTTCATGAAAAATACAGAACTGACTCACATTTGAGCACAATTGGGCAACTTTTGCATGCAGTGTGAATACATCCTTTATTATAGGGATGTTTTAACACAGAGATAGGCACATAGCTACCCCATTGGCCGCTACTGTATGCAGCGCCATATATCTACACAGTTGCCATATTGTGGAGGTCAAGACCTGCTAATTAACAATACTGAGAGATGCAGACTGTACTACGAAACTGACTAACTTGTTGAATGATGTTGAATGATAAATAACTACATTTGGTTTGTTATAAATGTGAGATGGGTGAGTGGATGGGATACTGGTTACTTGTAGGAATTCATTCAGTTACTAGGGGCAGATATATTCTGCTCTATGCCACTAGAACAGGCAGGCGGCGATCTATAAACAGGCAACCTCCCCAATATGGTGACTGCGCAGACGCACATCCAATTGAGAATGTGGTATCTATGTTTCTGTATGTATGAAAGGGCATTGCAGCTATCTATTAAAGGTGCTGCCAGGTTTGAACAGAATGAACATCAAATTTTTCCATTGCAGAAAACCCATTACTTTGTCAGACAGACTGACAGGACATCCCACTGATGTCCATACAATGTTCAAGCTGTCAAACATTCAAAAGAGCCTGCAACTAAATTAACTGCTTTATTCATCCTCTCTGATCATGAGGATTCTCATAAGAGGGGAATGACATTTTTTTCCAGGTGTTTTCCCTTAGAACATTACAACAGTTCAGATTGCTTTGGTGATCATTCACTGTCCTCCGCTGGAGCCAACAATGGGACATTACTGCTATCTTTTCCTGCCCAACAAGTACTTGGATGGATTTGATGTAGGACCAGAATTCAAGTCACTGAAAGTATGCTGACATTGATACCAATATATTGAGAGCAATATTGAAACTCAGTAAGACAACAAACATGTGGGATATCTAAAAACTTTAACTCAGCAGTACAGAGAATCCAGATGACTAAATAAGGTATTGACAGAACTGGTTGTAAAAGACCTAGGAACTATATTTGTGTACTGAGGTCTCAAACTGCCAAGATTTTGTAGTTACTACTAATAGTAGTAGTAGTAACAGCATTTGAACCACTGGACACTAAAACTCATAACTATAATACATTCAGTAATCCAAATGTCAAGTCAAGAAGTCAAACTAGTGCTAAAAGAATTAGTCATATGTCAGTCAACTGATTATGAAGTCTGTGAAAAGTACCAATGTGTAAGATTAAGTGGCCTCTAGTGATGAGAGTGCAGATTGCAACCAACTGAAAACTTGACTTAACTTGACTCAACCAAGTGTGTAGGAGAAACTATGGTGGCCACAAAACTTGCCAAAACTGTGAAAGGTCCCATCTAGAGTCAGTGTTTGGTTTGTCTGTTCAGGGCTACTGTAGAAACATGGAGGTTCAACATGGTGGACTCCGTAGAAGATAAAAAACACAATTCTTTCACAATTTTCAGGTGATCATACACTAATGAAAACATAGCTATGAATATTATATTCTATTTCTGACAATAGATCTTCCTAAATGTTACATACCTTTAAGTAATTCATTATTAAAGTAATTCTATAGTTGCAGCTTCTCCAGCTGTTTTATATGACTGTAAACTATATATTTGATCTGTTGATCAGACATCTGAAGATATCCTTCTGTGCTCTGGGAAACAAACTCTTGTGTGTTCCTGTACCAAAACCAAAACATGTTGCAGATGGGCTAAACAAAAGAAATCCAATTACAAATATATGGTTTCTGTCATTTTAGGTATCACGCTGCTGTTATATGCATGCATAATTTTTCTGATAAGTTTGGTTTTTAATTAGTACTTTGGAACTAAAAAGGGAGTTTCACGTCATGATAGACAGCTGAGCCCTGCTCGTGACTGAGT